GTGTAGTGTGTGAGGATATTAGTGTGAGTAGGCAGTGTATATATATTATGTGAGTGTGTGTAGTGTTGTGTAGTGTAGTGTATATATATATTAGTGAGTGTGCAGTGTAGTGTAGTGTAGCGCAGTGTGAGTGAGTGTATATATATTAGTGTGAGTGAGGTAGTGAAGGCAAGTGCAGTGTGTAGTGTAGTGTAGTGCATGTTGTGTAGTGCAGTGATATATATTAGTGTGAGTGTAGGCAAAGTGTAGTGTAGTGTAGTGTAGTAGTGTAGTGTATACATACATATATATATATATATTAGTGTGAATGGGTAGTGTAGTGTAGTCTGCATGTGTTGAAAGTATGTAGCTAGTGTAGTAATCATGTATGTATGTACTGCTCACAGGTGGTAAACGCGTCCAGTGCAGCAGCATTATGTCAGTGTGGTTATGCGCAAACACCGCTTGGTCTCCTCTCTTCAAACTGTATGAACAGGCAACTTGCATAAGCTCTCTGCCAGCACATAGTCTCGTGGCAACAAGGCTCAGGCCAGACAGGACTGGAGTAGCAGGGCCCCAGAGGACGGCGCAAGGCTTACTGGCATGTGGACACGTTCTGGCGTCTACACCACAGTTTGCTGCCTTGCGGATTAACCTTGTAGGTAACAAACCAAACGAAATGACGGTGAGCTGCATGGCAAAACAAGCAGCAGAGTTCCAACAAGACCCTAACGGCGGTATAGGTGAAGAGGTGACACAAGGAAAAACAACAATACTACTGGCGTGGACAAAGGAATGCCCGATGACAGGCTATTAAGGTAAAACAGCAAAACTGGGTTATCGGCAGTCCATTGCAACTTCCCCACTTGTTGCAAACACTTGCACCACTGGACTGGAAAAGGGAGAGCCATGTGGTTAGAAATTGGTGTTCCTGCTCAACACATAAATCACACTCACATGCAGCCACTATCCAGCTTGCGAAACTCTCATATCACCATCAAAATTCTATACCCCTAAACAGATGAATATTGGCGACGGAGAATGGCAGAGATGACTAAGGAAAGTTCTAGTCACAATTATGCACATGGGAGGCACAAAGATGATGGTCGCTAGCAATGGGATCTAGGCAGCAGGGCCTGCTCTGTGACTTAGCAGTTTTTGAGAAGACACTTTGCTCCCTACATGGGATTGTAAGGAACAGTAGCATGCAGGGTGAATGGCACAACCATGGTATTTGTTCTATATATATCCTTCACAGGCCTGAGAGACAATTTGCTAAGGTACCGGAAAAGCATCATTATGGGGATTTAATGCTCACCACCACTCGGGAGAAGAAAGTAGGGATAGAAGAGGGGACAAATAGCGAACTATATCTTTAATTAAATATACTGTTGAATGAGGCAGTGTAACTTACTAGATGATAGACACGGTACCTTATTAAGTATAGATGGTTTCAATGATGGGAAAGTTTAATTTGACACAAGATGGGAAGTTATACAACCCCATAAAGCGACTATTTGATTTTTTTTATGAAATAGGCTTGAGGGAGGCTACTCCGATAAGTCGATGAATCTGAAGCAGGCAAATTGGAGGTCACTCGTGACGAAGTGTGAACAAATTGCTCTTTGCAGACAAACACTAAACAAACACATTGAAGATACAATAATTAATGACAACAAAAATTATTCCAAAAGATTTCACAACTTGGCAAGCCTGGAGTTCCATGGTGGAATACAGATTGCCAACAAGCGATATCGAGAACGCAATAGAAGGTTCAGAATATTCAACGGAGAACCCAACCAGATAATCACAGAGTTTAAGAAGAAGAGGGCTCAGGCACGAAGAAATTGCTAAAGCAAAATGCAAGTCCTGGCAAGTACTGCTCCACTGTTGGATGTGACGTCATCTTCAAGTGTGGTTGTTTGTTACCGTATTAGGGACGGAGGAGGAATGCTCCTATCCCTCAACTGAGAGGTGACGAGGTGGGGTTTTAGATTTGACAGGCTAAAAACAACAGGAGTTGTAAGCATTAGAAAAATTCTTTTAGGCCAGCACTTCAACCATATAATGCTTGTTTTCAAAAATTCAGTAAAATTTTGAGGCCGAACTTTCGGCAAACGCTTCACTTTGGAGAGAGCAATAATAACGTAAC